TCACAGTTTTTGAAAAAGATCTTCAAATATTGAATTAGGACTTTTGTGTCAGTTGAAAAGAAAGATGTCATAGAATGAGAAAGCAGTCATAAAGAGTATACCTCTGCCAATGTTATTGTCACTAAAAGAAATGATTAACAATTTCATAATACACAAATATAAACCAAGGGAGATAACTGTGTAGATTTTGATTTTTCATATCTCTCAATCAAAAAAGATTTGTAGAACCTCAACAAATTTAATGAATTTTTCACTGGGGGACAATCCAATCTTCAACAAAATGTCATTGATATCTGCAAATGCTGTATTAGCCAACAGATATGAATAAATACATAATCTATTTCTAATTTTATTGGCAGGCTGTAAAAAAGATTCGCTTTTTACAAATGATCAAATTCATACCTTTTTGTTTCTCTGCTGTTTGATTTTATTCAATTTTGGATTTATTAAAAACAATTTTATTGCAGGAAGTCAAATCAACATCTTTTGAACAGCAAAAAAACTAGCTTGAGTTTTGACCAAGGTGAATTCTTTTATAGACCACTTTAATGAAGAATCAAGTGAAGAATAAATTTATTATCAGCAACTTATAAGACAAACATACTAATCAAGTTTCAGAAGAGATCTTCTGCTTCCAGAAAGTGAAATTTTGAAGCCAAGTTCAAATTCAGGTTGAGTATTTTCCATACACTTTCAAATACATTCTATTGGAAAATGCAGGAACACATCTTTCCTGGTTTAAATAGTAGGGTAGACGGGGCTCTCCATCATTGAAAACTAGTCAGTCTAGGAGAAAGACTATGAAGAATACAAGACTATGAAGAAAGCAACAGAATATCACTTGCTTCCCAGATAATAAAGAAAAATGCTTACTTTTAAAAGCCATGGTTACCTATGTACTGAAAGAATATGATGTTACAAAAATAATCTATAAAAATAGTGTATATATTTGGATATAATCTGATTGACACTTGAGTTTTTTTTAAGTAAGAAACGGTTTACAAATACTGAGATCTCAAGCAGACAAGTTCATAAAGAAATATACTAAAAAAGAACTTGAAAGTGTAAAACACATCACAACAATGCAATTCAGAAGAAAGCTAGTCACATTTTTTATGATATTCTGAAAACTTTCCTAATCACTGAGGGTTTTCAGTAATATCCTGAAATAAGGCATTTATAGCAACAGAAATTGTCTTGAAAAAATGGTTGACAAAAAGTCCATAGAGATTACTAGTTTCATGTGAGTTTTCAAAGCAGTAAAGTGATACGGATATTAGGATGATGCAAATATTTCCTCTTTTATCCTTTGTACAATTTTAGGGAAATCTTAGAAATCTCTATGGAAATAACTCAGCTCTTTATATCTTGAGCAATCAAAACTTGGGAATAATTCTGAAGTTCAGAAAAATGGCATTTTTACTGTTGTTCATCTAAAAGAATTCCTAAGAACCAATTAAGATAAAGGGTTACTGAATGATGTTACAGAAAATAGATATTAGCTGACCTAAGACTTAAAGAGATTAAGATTGTAGTGATCAGGGAAGAATCCTCTTGTTGGGTTGGCGTATGTTCCACAAGGTAACAGTTCTCGTGAAGAAATTGTCAGAATGGAACTTCATTTTTACCAATGGAAGACAAAGGGAATGTGAAAGATTTAACCCTGGATATATTTCTTAGCTGAAAAGGTCTGAAGTGGTGGAAATATAGAGGACCAGGTGTGTTTGATATGCATGTTGTTGTATTAGAAACATGTGTGTAACTACTGGTAGAATATTAAAAGGTCCAACTACAAGAAAATGGCCGGACTTGAATTAAGTCTAACTGACAATAAAGAAGACAAACAAAACCGATATATATATATATATATATATATATATATATATTTTCATGCACGCTTCATTAAATAATATAGACAAGTCTTGTCTATTTATTTTATGTAAATTTATTTTCGTAACGTCTGATAAGTTTAATAACATTATCGTTGAACGAAGAAAGAAATTCATAATATTGATCCATATTTTTTTTTTTTTTAATACAATCTAAGCTTTCGGATTACATAAGCCATTATCAAAGATGTCAATTATAACATATTAAACAATATATGGACACAACAGTGATGATAGTCTGTCATTGTTTGCATAGATGATTTCTAAGCAACGATAAACACGTGCATATAAGATGCTAGAAGCGAAAATCGCACTGCATCTCATGACATCACATATGACCACATGAGAGTGAATTGTAGAAGTATGGGAAGTTGTTGGTCTAAACCAATGGCTTCTGTTACCAATTATAGACATTTAAGAATATTTGTAGAGATGCCGTAATTGATTTTGTTTAGGTTGGGTTTCAACTGTTTGATGTATAATGCTTCAAGGATTTTTAGTTTTTGTCTATTGTTTTCATGTTTAAGTATAATTGTGTTTTCGACAAGTATTTTATGGAATGTTGTTTTAAATGCCTAAAAATGTTAGAGTTTTCATCAAAATGTAGTGTCAAGCACCGTGAAAGTGAGTTTGTGGTGTGACCAACATAAATATTATTTAATTCGTTGGAGATACACTCTCCCAAATGGCACTTGAATTTATAAACTATGTTGATTTTTTGCAAATCGCTAACCGGGGGAGAAGAATCATTGCAAAGAATTAAGTTGGATATACTAGATTTAGTGTAGTATATGATTAATTTAATTTTTTTGCTAGGATCTGTAGTTGCTATATTAGAATTTACTAAATTATATATATATATATATATATATATATATAAACAAATGTATGTATTAAACAAAACAATTTTACAATGAACAATAAAGTTTGTGTGTGTGTGTAAACATTGGTGTCTGTTTTTTGGTGAATGTTCCTATTTTAGTGAATGTTTGTATGTACGTGTATGTGTGTATAATATTCATGGCGTCTCCCAAAAATGTGAAGACGCAGATCTTCTAAGAGAGCTGACAATGTAGTCACTAAAATGAAGAAATGAAAAAGAGAATGAGGTGTGAAATTGCCCAGTATTTATAGTATAGGGAGAGTGACTCCCTAGTGACAATTTGGGAATTAAGGAGGAGCTAACTCCAACAAAATTATGAAGAAAAATTCAAAGTAAGAAAACCCCAGACTTGTATTTTTCCAGCTAAATTATCTGGATACTCATTACATATATCTATAACAAAACTTATGAGAAAGACTGTATACACTTTACTTATTCCTTATTTTATTTAAATCCGATTCTGATCCATATTTGATCTATATTTGACCTCAAACTGACAATTTTACTCACTATTAATCTCTCTCATTTCTTCAATGCCACATAACAACCAGATAATAAATGATATTCATTTTGTTGTTTCTACATCTTGCTGTTTCTCATTTTTACAAATATTTTTCTATCTGTAAATATTAGGGTGTTTATAATTATTTCCTTGGAGTTATAATTCCCCTAAAATATTTAATGGTATAGATGAAAGCTTTCCTGTCTTAATACTCTGCTTAGTTTCTGAAAGACACCTTTCACTATTCCAATGTGTCTTTTGATTTCTGGGTTACACTTTCTGTAGCTAAACTACCAAGTAGTTGAATTGTGACAGCCTGATTTGATGTTCCCAATCTGTACCTCATATCTTGAGTTTTCTCTTTTGCTGAAAAATCATGCATAATCTCTTCTTACTTTAAATGGTTCATCATGTCTTCTTCTCGTGCTTTCTTCTCTGACGTTCATGATTCTCCTGACTTACTCACCTTTGCTGCCCTTAGTAAATTTTACACTTGTACCATCAAAATTTGTTCCCCTGTTTGCCATTCACTCACACAAGTTTGTACAATTAGTTGCCATTATCTTTAGCTCTGCTTGCCTTCATGATGTGAGTGTGAAATTTTCTCAACCCTCATTCAAAATATTTAAACAGTTTTTGTTTTTTTTGTTTGCAAGTATAAATCTTCTTTTAGTTACTGTTTTCTTTAAAAAATTTTTATTTTTTACATTTTCTGTGCGTAAAATTTTCAGAATCCATTGGTACCTCACTTTCAGACTCTTTGAGCGTCTAGCTGTTTATTGAATATTGCTGCTGCATATGGTCAGGTTCTTCTGCTGTATATCTATAGATTCTTGATAAAATCCAAAGAAGAGACAGCAATATTATTGGTTCTGATCTGTCATCTAAGCTTCAGTCACTGTCTTACCATTGTAATGTAGCTTCCCTGTGCTTTTTCGATAAATACTTTCATGGTATTTTTTTTGAATGAACTCTTCACTATGTATAGAATCAACCATTTTCTTTTATGAATATATCTTTACCAATTTTGGGCAGAGAAGAGTGAGGAGAGAAGAAATGGAGGCTTGTTGCCAGAGTGAAGTGTGCTCAAAGGAAAAAATCATCACAGTGAGATCAGGAGATAATGTCTACATGTGCATTGGTTGCAATTGAGATTATCACTACTGTGTGGGCCTGTACAAACATAACCAATGTTGCACCACCATCAGTATGACATAACTTTTTGGGCACAGATCCTTGATCTCTCAAGACTGATGGATGCCACATATATATTTTAAGATATTTGTTCATATTTGCTATTGTAAATATTTACTACTATAAATATGAAACAGATATATACAGTAACTTGAGGTGTTACTGAATAATATAATATAATCATGCAATATACTGTTTTTTTGGCTTGTATCAAATTCTTATGTTGTTAATTCCACAAATAAATATAGTGATTTACTAAGCATAGCTTAGATGTGGCACAAGGCCGACAGTATTGAGTAATAATCAAATTCACTATTTAGTCATAATTGATCTAGCAAGACAAGCTTACTATCTACTACACCCAGCTGAAGGGCCTCATTATTATATATATATATATATATATATATATATATATATATATATATATCAGATATTATATATATATATATATATATATATAGATTTCTATTTCTATGCAGTATATGTTTACATATGTCCTATGTTCTCCAATAAGATGAAATGGGAGGTATAATCATTGTTTAATAGGCTGAGAAAAAGATAGATACATAGATATGAACAAGCTTTGACAGATAGATAGATAGATAGATAGATAGATAGATAGATAGATAGATAGATAGATATGAACAGATTTATATAGATAGCTAAATATAAACATATTGAGATAGAAAGATATGAACAGATTTATATAGATAGCTAAATATAAACATATTGAGATAGATAGATAGATAGAAAGAAAGAAAGATTCATATAGATAGCTAGATATAAACATATTGAGATAGATAGAAAGAAAGAAAGATTCATATAGATAGCTAGATATAAACATATTGAGATAGATAGAAAGAAAGAAAGATTCATATAGATAAGATATAAACATATTGAGATAGATAGAAAGATAAAGATTCATATAGATAGCTAGATATAAACATATTGAGATAGATAGAAAGAAAGAAAGATTCATATAGATAGCTAGATATAAACATATTGAGATAGATAGAAAGAAAGAAAGATTCATATAGATAGCTAGATATAAACATATTGAGATAGATAGAAATAAAGAAAGAAAGATTCATATAGATAGCTAGATATAAACATATTGAGATAGATAGAAAGAAAGATTCATATAGATAGCTAGATATAAACATATTGAGATAGAAAGAAAGAAAGAAAGATTCATGTAGATAGCTAGATATAAACATATTGAGATAGATAGAAAGAAAGAAAGAAAGATTCATGTAGATAGCTAGATATAAACATTTTGAGATAGATAGAAAGAAAGAAATAAATAAAGAAAGAAACAGACTGAGATAGATAGATTGTAGCAGACAAGCTAAGAGATAGGTAAAATGATTGATAGATTGGTAGTTAATAGATTCACTGAGAACAATTCCTGTATCTGACCATACTGTTTCTAATTGATATAAACGTATTGTTATGGCAAGACAATATATAAGAAGAGTAAAGAAAGTCTGTTTTAGGAGAGAGAAATAGAGAGGCATTATGTATTTTGAGAGAGAAAGGAACTGAGAGAGAAAATGAATGAAGGAAAGTTAACTGACATTATGAAATCTATAGAGGCTGAGTCTGTTCAAAAGAGAAGTATTAAACTGATAGAAAGACACAAGTAAAGGTGAAAATAAATAGGAAGTGAAAGAAAGGAAATAAGTGATAGAAAAAAAAATTTTGAAATGGAAGGAAACATGATCAGCTCGTGGAAGGCAACGTGATAATTGCACCGAGCAACGCACATATAATCTGAAGTTCTTTTCTATTAAACAATTCTACCTCTTTCATTTTCCATCTGCCATCAGCTAACAAACATTACTTTAGTCATTATAACACCAAATACATAAAAATCAGATGTGTAGGTTGCATAATAGTGGGCAAGGTGGAACTGGAAGAGCTGAGTTCAAATTCCTCTTTTGCACATATGCCATTTCTGGATTAAATATCAAGGTAGACTTGGCTCTCCAGCCTTAGGTGGCAACCAGTCTAAGAAAAGGAAAACTCTTAATTCCAAACCATTGAGAAAGAAACCACTCCACCATCTTTCCCCAGAAGTCATGACAATTCACAGATAATAACAAAATATCTGAAGAGAATCATTAATTACTCCTCTTTTCATGATAATTTCTTCATTTTATCATCATCCAATACAAGGCTTGATGAATGTTGTCGCTTTCTTACAGCCAGAAATAAAGACACAAAGAGAGGAATTGAGTTAAACAAATATATTAACAGAAACAGTAATACAAATATATACAAATGAAAAGTGTTAAAGTAAGAAAGTTCGGTCTGACTGTCAGAACTGACTGCTGGAAATTTGCCTCTCCAAAGGGCAGTACCTGCTCCTGTTTATAGCTGGGTGAGTTCATGCGCATGTGGGTAAATTACCATAACACTAAACGATGTTGTTGCAAGGATATAGGAGCAGAAAGCTCAAATCATGAGTATATATAGGATAGACAAGCTAACACCTAAACTTGAAGAGATTAGGATTGTAGCAGTTGGAGAAGCAACCCCAAAACTGTCTATCCTACAAAACAGTAGCTCTTTGGAAAAAGCTGTCTGAATGAAACTTTCTCCTTACCAATGGAATATGAAGGCAGATCTTAGCTGTAAAATATAAACTGGTAGAACTATGGAATGTAATTTGTCTGGGCATTTTCCATGGAATTAGCAATAGAGTAGTAATAGGCTTGTATCGAACTGAGGAATTGGAGAGCTAAGTTTGAAGTCCATTCGAATTCATTACATTCACTTATGTGCTAATACCCTTGGGAAAGGTATGGATCCTCTTCTTCTCCCCCCCCCCCCAGCTATGGGTAAATAGCCTTGGATGGCAACTGGTCTACCGCAGAAAGAAATGGCAACCTACTGTGGGAAAAAATCAGCCTGATTGAGGATTTGGAGAACCGAGTTCAAAGTTCAGTTGAATCTGTTACATTCACATATGTGCTAATACCCTTGGGAAAGGTATGAATCCTCTTCTTCTCCTCCCAGCTATGGGTAAATAGCCTTGGATGGCAACTGGTCTACTGCAGAAAGAAATAGCAACCTACTGCCGGAAAAAATATGCCTTGTCAGTACTGTAATCGAAAGATATATGATCACCTAAGAATGTATCACACACGGCACATGACTGACTAAATATGGGAAAGAGGTTGTAGGTTAGGAAAATTCATCACCCCAGAGGCTGCATAATTATTAACAGAAACTGGGAAGAGAGGATTGGACAGCTTGAACCTAGATAAAACATAAATACTAAATATTTGGTCTGAGCTGGTTCTTGTAAAGATAGAGTATGGCAGATGGAGTTGGGTACTTCTTAGAATGATATAAAGAACTGACCATTTCTTTAGCAACTTTTGTGATGGATTGTATATTTATTTTTATAAGCTTTTCACCCCAAAGCAAGGCAGGAGTGCCACTAGCATCGAAGGGGTTACAGAAAGTGAGAGCAAGATTAAAGAAGGGTGTTTGATGAAATGATATAGAGAAGGATGGGAACCAGTAGCAAGGCATCAGAAGATGTCAATTGACATTACATTTGAATATTTGAAGATTATAGCCATCAGGGATAGAAGTAAGAGGAGGGGAGTTCCACTGTCATGAAGTGTGAGAGAAGAAATTGTTGGAGTAGAAGAGGCAGTTACATTTAACTGTTTTGACAGTGAAAGGATTGGACCAAGATGCCAACCTATTAGCACGCTTAAATTCATGCAGTTTGGGTACCAATGAAAGTAGCTCATCAGAGCAGTTACCATGAAAATATTTGTAGAAAAAACAGAGGTAAGCATCTGTGAGAAAGTGACTGTAGATGAGATTCCAGGTCAGAACTTATCACATTGATAATGGTCTCTGGATTTTGTCTGGGACATCGAGATGAACAGCAGGGATGCCAAAACATATATGGCAACAATATTCAATGCATGGGTGAATGGTAGATTTGTCGATTTGAAGGATGGACTCAAATAAGAAAAATCTTCTGTGGCGACACAGAGAACTAACTTTCCTTGTGGTAGAAGAAGCTATTGATTCAATGCAGTTGTTCCACATCAAGTCAGGGAAAACATGAGACCAAGAAGTCGCAGAGAGACACTCTTTTAGAGTTGGGCATCAGCCATATTGATAGGAGGCAGGAAGAGTTCTCTATGGTGGGTAAATGAGAGCAGTTTTATTTTGGAAGCATTAAAGTTTACAAGGCATTTCTTGCCCCAGTCAACCACAGATTGAAGGTCCTTTTTGAGATCGGTGGCCAGGTTAGCTTTTTCAGCAATGTAGGATTTACTATTGAGACAGAAGTAAATAGTAGTGTCATCTGCATAAATGCCTTCTTGAGAATTGATGATATTTGTTTCAGTTAAGGTCTGAGGTCAACTTGAGTTGTAATAGATGACCAAAGTTCTTTGAGAGTGCAAACATTCATTGTCGCTGAAGTGACATGATAATTGAAAAAAAAAACTACTTAAAAATTACCTTCATTGGGATGTTATTTTTGGCTTTAATTGATCCTAAGCATATACATGATAAAGACAGATTTAATTCATTTATAACACAAAGTTCTTTTAGTTTTCTTTACTTTGCCTTGTAATTCCTATTCTTTATTCTATCCAGATCTCTTCATCAGGATCTGATATTTAAAGTTTATTCAGTTCCCTGGAACTTGTTAGGTTAATTTCTGGATTAGTGAGTACAGAAGTAGAAAGTAGATGCTTCCAAGTTCTGATATTTCCTCAGAAGGACAACGGTCATGACAGGAATAGGAATGAGAACAACATATCCCAGCAGATTGAATAAAGACTTCTATACAATATTCCCTTGAAAGGACACTGGATATGGCATGTATCAAATAAAAGTTTCTCTTCAGCAATCTCAGGGAGTTGTGAAATCCAACATACAGAGGGACAGCAAAAGTAAGAATGAAAACTGGTCTAAAAAATGCAATGTATATACTTCTTGTTAGACCTGTCCTATTACCATCTACATTTAATATTATAGTATTATGCAGTCAGGCTAGGCACAGGTAATGGTTGTCTCTGATGTCTAGGTCAACAGTAGTTCACTGCATACACCAACAACATATTTGTTCTTATTTGTGAGCCTCTAAACTCTGTATGGAATATCAAGCCACAGACACACCACGACCAAGCCACAGCCAAACCATCTTTTGTGGTGCTGCTGCTGTATTCCAGTAATTTTTACAGGCTAAAGTTGCTAGCACTATACATAGTTTTTTCTTCTAGACTCTCTTCCACCAAAGGCTAGAGAGCAGTGGCAACTTCAGGGGTTAAGCTTGTCAGGCTCAGCCTGAGTGAATCAATATTCAAGTATATTTATTCCAAAGCAACAAAATCTTTCATAGAGCATTGCTTTCATTTTTGACTTCAGCTGGATCCAAAATGAATTGTTTTAACTCAGTGCTTCAAAATATTGACCGGAATACATTTTGTTGATATTGTTCATAATAACAAAGAAAGAAAGAAGAAAGAAAGAAAAAAAACAAAAACAAAGAAAGTAAGTAAAAAAAGAATGAAATAAAATTAAGGTAATTTGTTGGGTTGCATAACCCATTGGGTTTGAGCCCTATCGAAGCTGGAGATATACTTAATAAGCAATGTATTTCTTGCTTTAATTAGATAAATAATCTTTTAAAAATCTCTAATGACTTGTTTGCCCGTGTTTTCAAAAAATACATTTTTATTTCAACTTATTGTTTTCAAATTTTGATTTTAAATAATTTATTCCATACCATATATGTTATTTAGTGGAAAGTTTCTTTTGAGAAAGGATAAATTAAATTTAGCTTGACTTAAATTCAGCGAAAATCAAAGAGAGTGGCAGCCTTAATTTGTTGACTTGTGGGTTAGGGTGAAGAGTATAACTGGGCTAGTGCTGAGGAAACATGATATCAGTCAGCAGTACTGATCATAAATGTACAATAAATTAAACTAAAAATTCACAGAGAGATACATAAACACACTAATACATAGACATATATCAGTGAATTGATAACCAGACTATAAAAATGGGAATAAACAGACAAACATATCAAAGACTTTATCAATACCAAAATATGTTTTTTTTAATTTCATGCACAGATATTTAAAAAAAAACCGAATTATTTTAGCATTTAAGTTATGCCAATAGTATATTTAGTTAAAGATTGTAATGAGCCCAACAAACATTGATGATCTAGAGTTGCCAGTGATAGAGAGCCTAGATTACCCTAAATTCTAAACCATAGCTGGAAAGAAGATATTGATTCTTATGTTTTCAAAGGACATTGTTTGAAATTGAATGCAACAACTTGCCAATCCTACTCAAAAGCAATAACTGATTATAAATTCATTATATAACAAAACTATTATGATGCAATATTACTTAAGTCATTTTTGGCAGGAAAAATTGGTAGCTCTTGTATGCCATGAAAATAAATCTTCAGTATGCAGCTGATCATAGCTCTCCACATCTGTCCTTTGTAGCTATAAATAAGGTTTGTTTTCTATTTATTGTCTCGCCTTATCCCTGTTCCGTCAACTAATTACACACAAGCTTATTAGCTAGGTTATTTGCTGCTTTCCTTTGTCTCTCTTGTATTCAGTATGTCCTGTGAGTATCGAATTCTCCAAGCCCTGTTTCTTCATGTGCCCTAGACCTTTCAATTGTCTCTTTCTGATTCTAAGTATAAGTTATCTTATA